ATTTCTGTTAAATAAAATATCTCCTTTTGAAGTGGACTTTGAGCTTTGTAACTTCGCAGATCTTTTTTATGCTCAAACAGCAACATTACAGTCTAACTAAAATTGAAAAAGTGAAAAAGCATAATAGGACCCCTTTAATGGGGACCAGCAACTGTTTGGTTACCCACGTTTTTCAAAATATCTTCTTTTGTGTTCAGCACAATAAAGAAATAAATACAGTTTTGGCACAACATGCGAGTGAGTACATAACGTTTAGCATGTCGGCTGCATGTTTAGCACTGTCCCTTTAAGAGCTGCACACATCTAATATACAGGCACGTATCAGACTTTCTCTCAACTGTTTACTTTCATTTTAGACATAACCAACTTAGTCTATATGTAAACCTTGTGTGTTTTGACAGTATTAGCGCAAAAGATAACTTAGTTCAGTAATCAGGCCCTGTTTGACAGGGTTTTTAGTGCGCGTGCTTCGGCTGTACCCCCTCAGAAAAAGCGCACGTCAGAACAGCGCTTAAATTAAATGTTTAACGGCTCTAAAACAGATGCAAATAATGTACTTTTGTGACTGCGAATAAGTGCAGTGTCCTGTAAGAGTAACTCTACCGCTGAGTTAATGCTGATGTGAATGTATGTCACGTTGTACAGTATCTTGAGACGGAGGCACCAGAACTGCAGCTGACAGAATGCACTGTAGCACGATACTACGATATTTCTTCAAAAGCAGATCATGGAGACCTTTTTATGATCAAAAATAGTCATATCGCACACCCCTACTTTATAGCATACTAATAGTGGCAATGGATAATTTATCTCAGATCTTAAAAAAAGAATAAGGAAACATTATGACTGTGAACTCAATGTGAACCAACAGTGTATTCCAAAGATCAGTCACTCAGTATTATGATTATTATTAGATTATGTTCTTAACCATGTAGTTGCGAGTGCATTGCGCTTCAGAAAAGAGCCTGCCCATTCGCTCTTCTGATTGGTTGTGATTTTTCATTGATTTTGTTGTGTCTTGTAGCTGTGTCCCATCTGGTGTGGAAAGACAAATTGCTTGTCGCTGAATCTTATCGTGCCTGGTTAGGGCACAGTAGGTGCGTTTACATGGAGCATTATAATCGGTTTAAAAGTCCAATCCGAATGAAAATGCTCCATGTAAACACCTCAATCGGAATAAAAATGCCCAAACCGAATGAAATTGTAATCGGTTTGAGAGGGGTGGGATAAACCTTTCTATAAACCGAACAAAATTACAATTCTGCCATGTAAACGCGTTAAACCGATTACTTTGCGGCATTCTGGAATAGTAGAGGTTAGGGCTGTGCAAAAAATCGAATGTGATTTTCATGCGCATCTAGTCAGTAAAGCCGTTTTACTGCATTTACTACACAGAGCCGTAGTTCACTGACAAGCTACACAAAATCGCGTTCAAAATCGCAGGCGATTCATTGCCGATTTTGAATGCAATTTTGTGTGGCTTGCTATTGACTGTCATTCATTTATTTGTTCTTATTTTATTATTTACTTGTCTTTTTTAGTGAAAATAAATTCAATTCTGAGTGCACGTGATTCTTGGGTGGGGAGGGGGCGTGGTCCATGGGAAATAGTCCTACCACCACAGCTGGAAAAAATCCTAGAGGAAACACTGTATTGTTCAGCAACTCTTGGTAAGAAATTGTTTATTTGTTCTTAAGTAGCCTACAGTAAAACTTTTTAATATCAATACAATTCAATTATATTGTGTTTTATTTTATCTGATAGATATATATTTGTGCAACTTTAGAAACTGCAAACGAGAAATCAATTTGGTTCTGTGTGTGGTACAATACAAGACGGCTGTATAATTTCTATGAATGTGTATGTGTTCTGGCCACATGACTGGCTCGAATGAACGCAAGGGATTCAAATATTAGTCCATTTATTCTAAGCAAGCACAAGCAGCTATTAAAAGCTATTAAAAATATTAACGCAAAAAACGCAGGCATTTTTTCCTCTGGTGATTTGTAGGCTATTTGTTGTCATTCAGATTAGATAACGTCTCATGTAAACAGTCCACCGAATCTTTCAATCGGAATGACAAAAAAAGTGTACATGTAAATGTGGCTACTGTTACGCTTTAGATGATTTCACCTTATTTAAGGTGGAAACACACTGAACATATCTATTAGAAAAACAATGTTTCTGCCTCTCACCTCATGTGTGTAAGTCCGCACAGGTACACCAAACGCTCTGGCCAGACCAAAGTCAGCCAGTTTGATCTCACCCTGAGCGTTGATCAGGAGATTCTGGGGTTTAAGGTCCCTGTGAAGAACACGATGAGAGTGACAGAAGGCCAGTCCCTGGAGCAACTGGAACAGGTAACTCTGAACAAATATAGACAAACAATTAGACCAACACACATTAGACAGACTATTTAGCCTTGAATGTTTAACACATGCGGGCTGCATTTGTTAACAGCATCATTAGCCCACCATATTTTTATAGTGTCTGTCATTTATTATAAACAACAAGTGTGTGGGAAATGTGCTTTACAAATCAACTTGATGTGCCTAACCTTGCCTAACATAGCACTGTTGAATGCAAAAATGCACAGTACACATAGCAAAAATTTTTTTTAATAATAAAAAGAAAACAACTAGATCGAATAGAAAAATAGAGAACGCTAGTGTTAGAGAGTCAATAAAAAAAAGAATAAAAATAAAAGCTGACAATAGAATACAATAGAGAATGCTAGTGATAAAAATCAGGGTATCTTCCAATCATTCGTTTTTTAATTTAATATTGAAATCTGAAAAATCAAAAAAACGGCACATTTTTCGTTTTTCATTTGTTCAAACAAAACGAAAAATCAAGAATTTGCCTTCATTTTTCGTTTTTACGTTCAGGGATAGAAAACGAATAAGCAACTTGAATATTCGATCTCTACATGTGGGCGGGAATGAAACACCCCTTTCCGCTGATTGGTCAACCAAACATTTAATAGTCCTAAAAAAACATAGTAAGAGTCCTCCGCTTCTATGGATTCTTAACGTGTTTATTTCTACTACATTTTATCTCTTTCTCTTCATCAAACAGCCAGATTAACGAATGGCTTGACAAACCGTATCGAGGCAGAGCCTAGACAGAGCTTTCTTTTGTGTAGGCATAAATTCTGCAACCTACCCGTGAAATATAAGTTTATCTCATAAATATTAATTTACTTCGCACCTGCACTCACAACTACCTACTAGCCTACATCTTTGGCACACCGCCTGAATTATTATAGCTAACCACCTATTAAAATTTGTGTGGCAAAGCTGTGCGATGCACTGCAGCGTGGGAAGAATGTATTGTAGACAAGCGCAGACAGCTATTAATTTATGTGAACATAGGTAGTTTTAGACAATAAACTGAGTTTATTTAATTAATATTGAGTATTGGCCAGCTAACTGATGGCATACAAAATTGTTATTTTCTCTGCCAACTAAACCAAAGTCACAGAACCGTTGTGTGACTGACTCGCAGCAGGCGCACAGAGTGGTGAATCATTCCTGAATGAATCAGAGTCTTTGAAAAACCCATTATTATAGACAACAATACAATTACCAGTTATTATAGACAGCCACTTGATTTTATTCCTAAATGAATGAATGAAGCATTTTGAACGAATTGAATAAAAGGCTCCTTTATTAACACAATGACTTACCGCCACCTAGTGGCGATATTACTTTCATAATTCAAGTATCATTTCATTTTATTCATATCTCTGTATTAAAAATGTTGTATAAAACAATCTCATTTCATTATACATTTATAATTGCTGTGTAAATGCACGTACAGCCGTCTGATCAGCATTAAACTGTAAATACATCTAAAAGCATCT